GAGGGTCCGGCCCACGCTGCGCCTGGGCTGGGACTGGTCCCGCCGGCGCAGGGTAGCAGGAAACTCTCCGCACACTCACCGGACCTGGGCTAGAACTGGGTCTGGGGGCTCCCGGAACTCGCCAGAAAATCCTACTCGGCGGACGGGGTGGGGGAGGCACTGCGGAGTGGTGGGGGACGGCCCGAGGGGCTGGGAGAGGGTCCGGCCCACCGAGAGAAAACATTCTCTCAGGCTTTCACAGAAAGCATATTGGTCAAGCAATGGCCGTGATTCATCCACATGGCTGACACTGACAAAGGATCTACAAAGTGCTGTTCAGGGTTTTGGGATAAGTCTTGAGGGGACTTCACTGACCATGTCAGATAAAAAAGTTACATTTTTTGTTATATAGGTCTTGCTTTATCTTGGTCTTAACCATCCAGCAAAAAAGTATAGAAATGAGGTATGAAAAGTGAAGTCATGTTTATATGCTGAGCTGTGGAAGGCTCAAATCATCAGATTCAGACAATGCCAGTCCTGTGGATAACCCACTACTATTGTGGAGTACTGGACTATATTGGTATATTTTGCTGAATTCATGCACATACAATATTTGGATGGCAATTGAATACCTATCTCTGACAAAACTGAACCAAAAAAAGGTGATATAAATGAAGGACAATTTTGTGTCTGTATATACAATAGTTAGGATAGATATATTGCTACTTTCTCTTAATTCAATAAGAAGAAAGATCTGTACTAATAGTATTTGGACAGGATATCATGTCTGCATCTTGTGCTATGAATGACTACTACAAAGACAACAATATGCAATGTATTAATTGTTGTAACTCTCCTACCAACCTGTTTTGAAGCTGTCACATTGCAATTTTTTCTCAATAAAATTAATTTAAAAACTATATAAGCCAAAATAAATTTATGTTTTTAATATGTGTTTCTGTTTAAGCCCCAAATTAGCAATCTCTTACTACTTTTTCAACCCACATCACTCTAAATGCTCAAAGTGTGTAAAGATACATCTATATCTAGTGACAGGACTTTACTGCAGTTCACTTGCAGATTTATTGGGTGACATCATTGAGCTATGGAAGATAGAGAACTTTAACTATCTGACATGCACTACAGGAAGTGCTCACTGTTAAGAGAACAGAGTAGAGCCAAATGAAGATTTTGTTCTAACAATAACAGTATGACTTCTCAGTTATACAATACCTTACTTTTTATATTATTTCTCTTATGAATTGATATCCACATTTACAGAAAACAATAAAGTGTTGTCTCCACTTTGAAAATGAAAAAACTCAATCAAATCAATAAAATGATTTCTATGTTTTTGGCATCTACTGCATGCTAGGCATGAAGAATGCCAGTGTAATGGTAGAGATAGCAGTAAGTAGAGCACAACAAGTACCACAATAGGGAAGAACATGGTGGAGGAGAGGTCTTCACCAGGGTACAATAGATACACAAAAGCAGCTGTTAGTTTAGGGAAAAGTAATAATAATGTGTAAACTAGCATATCTCAACCAGTGGTGATTTTGGCCCCTATATTGGTGAGCTTTCCACTTGCTGGATACAATACCCATCACCCACAACTTAAAGAGAAGAGGTTGAATTTGGCTCTTATATAAAGAAGATTCAATCCTTGGTCAGCAGAAACATCATGGCAAAAGGACATGGTGAAGGAAAGCTGCTCAGCTAAAGGAGGAAAGGAAGCAAAAGTAGAGTGAGGAGGAAGGAGCCAAAAGAGGAGATTCACCCTCTAAATGTGTCCTACCAGTGGCAAACCTCATCCACCTAGGCCCTACCTCCTAACGGCACATTTAGCTATAGAATATCAAACAATTGTTATGTATAGTAACACCCCATGATCCAATCACCTTTTAAATGCCCCACTTTTGAACACATGAAACTTTTAAAGAACATTTTAGATTTAAACCATAGCAACCCTGTTGGATATAGCTCAGTGGCACAGAGCTTGACTGGCAAGCATGAGGTTGTAAGTTGAATTCCTGGTACCAAAAAACATTATTCATAACAATCTCATCTTCTACCCTTAGGACATTTCATAATGTCTGGAAACATTTTGATTGTTAGTTCTCTCTCCCTTCCTCCCTCTCTCCTCCTACCCCTCCACTGTTTATCTCCCTCCTCCCCTCCCTCCTACTCCTCCTGCCCCCCTCTCTCCTATACTTTCTCTCCCTCTCTTCTTTAGGAGTTGAGACCTCATGTATACTAGGCAAGCACTCTATCATTGAGCCAGTCCTTGACTGTCACAATCCTGAAAGAAGTAAATAATAGCCAGAGATGTTACTAAGCCTCTTCCCAAGTATCCAAATATCACTCATGGTTCAGCCCCTACAAAATGAACTATCTAGTCCAAAATGTTAATAGTGATGCCAACAAGAAATATATGTATGCCGAGAGCTAGTGTATGAGTGGGGGGTAGAGGGAGGCTCTGACAGAGGTAGTAAATGGAGAGAAAGTAGTGATCCACAAAGAACTGCCTATGGGAAAGAACTTCATACCCACTCTCACCCATGTCTATGGGAAAATCACATAGCTTAACATTTACCATGTTAACCATCTTTAAGTATGATTCTATGACATTAACTGTATGCATTTTTGTGAAACTAGCATCAACATCCATCTCCAGAAGCGGTTATTCTTTAAAACTGAAACTCTTTACCTTTTAAATATTAACATTGAATATTTAATATCTGGATACTTCCTATAATATTTATCCTTCTTTGGCTGCCTTATTTCACTTAGCATCATGTCCTCAATGTTTAACCATGTTGTAGCATAGGAAATATTTTTCTTTCTTCTTGGAGCTAGATAATATTCCATTATAAGTGTACCTCACTTTTTAATTTTTTTATTTTTTTCTGGATACATTTGGCTTTATTGAGCCACAGTTCCCTAGGTCCCTCCTCTTCTACAGGTGGAGCTGGAATGGAAGCTGCAAGGGGGAGATTCTCAGTGTTGGGGCTGAATAGGGCAATAACCTCTCCCACCCTCTGGTCTTGCTGGGTTATGGAGGGGAGGAGCCTTACTCCTTGGAGGCCATGTAGACCGTGAGGTTCAGCACCCTGTTGCTGTAGTGGAACTTATTGTCATATGGGAAATGAGCTTGACAAAGTGGTCATTGAGGGCAATGCCAGCCCAGGGTCAAAAGTGGAAGAGTAGGTATCACTGTTGAAGTTCAAGACACAACCTGATCCTCAGTGTAGCCCAGAAAGCCTTTGAGGGGACCATCTGATACCTGCTTAACCACCCTCTTGATGTCATTGTATTTGACTGCTTTCTCCAGGAAGCAGGTCAGATCCACCACTGACATGATGGGAGTAGACATATGGAAGGCCATGCCTGTGAGCTTCCCAGGGATGACCTTGCTTACGGCCTTGGCAGCGCAGGTGGATACAGGGATGATGTTCTGAGAATACCCACTGATGTAGCACTACTGCTTCCTAGGGGAGCCATCCACAGTTTTCTGAGTGACTGCAATGGCTTGGACTGTGGTCATGAGTTCCTCCATGATGCCAAAGTTGTCCCTTGGCCAGGGGAGCTAAGCAGTTGGTGGTGCAGGAAGCATTGCTGACAATCTTGAAGGAGTTCTCCTACTTCTCAAGACTCATACCCATCACAAACATGGGGGCATCGGCAGAAGGGGTGGAGATGATGACCATTTTGGAGCCACCTTTCAGGTGATTGCTGGCCTTCTCCAAGGTGGTGAAGACACCAGTGGACTCCACCACATACTCAGCACCAGCATCAAACCACCAGATATTGGTGAGATCTTACTCTTGGCAGATGGTGATGGCCTTTCCATTGATGACGAGCTTCCCATTCTCAGCCTTGACAGTGCTATGGAACTTTCCCCGTGAGTGCAATCATACTGGAACATGTAGACCATATAGCTGAGGTTAATGAAAGGGTCACTGATGGCCACAACATCCACGTTGATAGAGTTAAAAACAGATTCAATATGGCCAATTCTGCTCACTCTGACCTTCACAATTGTGTCTGGATAACTACTAGTGATACACAGGAAAAGCAGCTATCAGTGGGCACACAGGAGCAGAGAGCCTGCCTCATTTTATTTATCTATTCATATGTCAAAGAACACTTGTACATTGCTTCCATCCTTTGAATGTTGATGATAGTGTTCTGTCAGCATGGGTTTACAAGTAGTGTTTGAGTCCCTGCCTTCAATTCATTTGGGATATATCTAGAAGTTACTCACCAGTTATTTTATATGCCAATTAATTTCTAAGCATTTTTTCAGTGCTTTATATATAGTATGAAAAATACCCACAATCCTTCTGTCATGGAACCTATATTCAAGAGAAAGAAAACAAAATAAGTAAAGAAGCAGACAAGATAATTTCAAATAGCTCTTTGAAGCAAAGAGGCAGAGATGATGTTGCAAGACTAGGAGTGCAATATAAGTACCAGAAAAGGTAGCAAAAGCTCCATCCTGCAGGCCAGCCAGGTCAGGACTGATTATATTTTTTGATGATCAAGGACAAATTTAGAAATCTTTTAAAAATTTTCCATAATCAAACAGCAAATAAATTTTATCAACCAGGCTAGAATTCTATATCACTGCCTATTATTATTTTATAGACTTGTTTTTTAGCCGAAAGTTTATATTATGAAACATTTTTAACAAACACAGTAACCTGTGCCCTACTTCTCAGACATCTGATTTTTTCCATGTGTTTTCGTGATTCTTTCGGAATCAACTGGTTCACAAGAATGACAACAGGACATTTTAATTTTCTACTTCCCACACTCCTTCTATACCCAGATCTGCCACTGAGGTTCCTGTTTGCTTGTTTTAAGAGATTTTCTACAAGTACAGGATAAAATGGTATTGATTCTAAAAGAAATGCCATACTTCCCTATAGCCTAGTTTTAAAATAAACAACTTCTATTCTGTTCAAAACAAAAAATTCACATATGACCTGAGTAAGTAATATCTGACAAAATATAGAAGAGCTCTGTCAAATAATAAGAACACTGTTTCTTCTAACCTTTGTTTTTATTGAAGGTCATTTTCAGCTTACATAAATATTGTCTGAAACCTGTTTTGCAAGTAAGCAGTCTCTATGATGATTTATAAAGACAGAAGTCCACTGGCAAAGTTTATCTTATTAAATACACAAGCTTTTATTTTCTAACAAGTTTGGGTAAGTGACAATATCTCACCTGGTAAGTGAAACTATCTTTCATGCAGAATTAAGACCTTAACACAGTTAATATGTACTGTTAAGATTTATCAAGGTTCATTGTGGGACAGTGTACCAGGTGACAAGATATGTTGCAATCCAGTTCAAAATCCAAACCTCATTCGTTGGATAAGCAACAATAACTTATGGCACAAAAGTCATATAAGGAAAAAGACTCTTTTTCTTTTTTTATGAGCTGTGTAGAATTATGTAGTAAATACATATTCTTAACCTTTGAAGTATTTTAAAAGTGACCATATTTGCTTGATATATTTGTCCCATTAACAAATAGTGGTTGAACAACTTCTATGTCTAGGATTTTAATAGGTACTATTAAAATTTTAATGTAACAGTGAAAAGCTAAACATTTTCTTATGTATATTACCTGATAGGCAAAATATATTTTTATAAAGACTATGTGCAAAAGAACTTAACATGCTTTAGAAAAAAATTTGACTTATTAAGGATCCCATAATTCCACCAGAAAACCTTTTATGTTTATAATTTAAATTGGCCTCAAATGTAGTACTTCATAAACATGTTACTAAATGTAAAACTACAGGAAATAAAAAGGACTTTCCATTGCCCTGATTTTCACATAATCTCCTTCTGATTCTTATAATTCCTTAGCCTTTTTAGTTGTTCAATAATCCACATATTTTTATTAAGTTTCAGGCACTGTGCTTGACATTGAAGAGACAAAGGTGAACAAGTGTGGGGGGCGATAGAATGCTCCTGTTATATTTTCCCTTATTTGGGCAAGAAGTGCTGCAGCACAAATCCCCGCTTGCCTCGGCATCTTCCTGTGGTCTTGGATCTTCACTACCAATCCACAACTAGTCCCACCCAACTGCTTCCACTATACAGCTATTTAGACCCTGCTCACTTCCTCAGTAAACGAGACTTGATCAGAAAGCCTGTCTTGTCTCCGTCTCTCATGTCTCTTGCCCTGTCTTTTTCATCCCCATTCCTCCTCCAGGTCATTACCCCACGTCTCCACTCGCGGGCTGAGTCAAACAAGAAAGATGAGGTTTCTGCTGTATAAATTTTACAATCTTCTTGGGGAGACAAAGAAAGCAGTAACAGGGAGTTTGCAGACACTGTGATAGTGAGAGTAGAGATTACTGTAGAGGCACAGAACAGGAACATCAAACCCTAATAGCTAGCATAGTGTGGAGATATGGAAAGAAGAAATGGCAGGGGAAATATCCCAGAGGAAGACTCTTATCTCATTCTTTTAAAAAAATTTCCTAAGTCTCAGCATTATCAGCAGAGGAGCCCAAATTTGATACATAGTTCTGTCTAATTCCTCTACACCAAGCAGCCAAGCATCCCATTACTGTGACCCCCAACTGGTTCACTCTTGAATTGGTCTTGCTTCTATCTATTACTTCATGAGCCAGAAGGGGCCCTCGGGACTAGGCCTCCCAATCTGTAATGTTATTTTTACCTCCCTCCATTTCTTGTTGCCTTGTTCTAGGATTTAATTTCAACTTCTACTGAGACTGGGGCACTCTCCTAACTTCGTGGATTGACTCAGGACCTTCATCCATCACCTAGCTCTACCCAAGTTCTCAGACTCCCCACTCTGCCCTTAGAACAAAGGGCTTTAGTTCCTGGTAAATTCTGCTACATGATGCACTGACCAACTCAGACTGAAATCCTAAGAATTACCTGTAGTCTCACCTCACCCTCAAATTAAATCCTCAGAAAATCAACATCATTTCAGGCGATAGCAGTCCCATTGTGGAACACAGTGATATAGTAGGTTCTGTTAGTTGAATAAGGGTTTTCAGTAGCAAGTGACATAAGTCATTTTGAATTTCTTTAGTAGGAGGAAAACACACACACACACACACACACACACACACACACACACACACACACAGAGTCATACTTACAGAGAAAGGCAGTTGAGTTTTCAGTTTACAGAGCTGAAAATTTAAAGATGACCAGAAATAAGAGCGGTTTCCGGGTACTGAACAAAAGAAAGGATCACACAGAATATGCAGCAGGCCACTCCTGGGACGACTCAACTTTGAGCACATTCTCCATGATCTCATTCCCAGGGTAAGGTCTCATTAGACTGGCCAAGTTTAGGCCACGTGCCCACCCACTGGCCAGGGGAAACAGGTTCCACTCCTAGCTCTATCCAGGAAGAGGAGTGACTATCCAAAGTACAGCTGAGATGCTGTTACCAGAAGAAGTGAGAAGAGACCTTGTGTTGCAGAATTTCAAAAAACCAATAAAAGGAGTCAGCTTCTCTTCCTACAGCTCTAGTCCCTCAGGCTCCCAGGTTTTCTCTGCATCTGCTGAATGTAGCTACAGCATGCATCTAACTGAGTCCACATGGAATCCAAAGATTACAACATATGAGCACTAAGAATCTTTGCTTCTTATATGTAAAGTACCAAGCACAAAAAACTATACCTCTAGTTAATATCTTAAGACTATATAAATTATAGTGAGAACCCAATAATCCCCATGTTATGATTTTTAAAAATTCTATATATTCTTACCATTTACAACTTCTTTAAGATAAAATCCATGCTCTGTGTTCTTCCCAGCATTCAATAATTAATCAAAATATTAACTAATAACCTGCCTTCCTGCTAAGCTAAAACTTTTTAAACTATTTTCCTATTTATATTTTAAAGATTCCTTCAGATAAACTGTCTTCAAGGCAATGCTTGAAATTATATCCTTTCCATTAGGTTCTCTTCAATAATCATCATGCAAATACACATATTTTATGACATTTGTTCATTTTGTCTTCTTAGTTCTGGAAAGAATTTTGCATAAAAGCAGATAATAGTAAGAATTTTTTTTTTCATTTTCCTCATCACTGAGTGCCTAAGTATTGATTTTGGTGACAATAGTTACAGTACATTTTTCAATACTTAAATATGGAAGGCCTGAGACTTATCTTATGGCAAAGCATGGTATCAAGTGTGACAAAAAAGATAATGATAATGGCAATAATACCAATAGCCAACATATATTAAACCCTTACTCTACAGAGGCTCTGATCTAAGCTCTGTGTGTGCATTATGATATACTGGTGGGAATTCAACTGGGGATGAGGATTCTTGTAGGAGATAGAGGCGAGAGAGTCAAGGAATGCTTACTGGAGCCAAGTCACCGAGTAGATGAAAAACACAAGGTAGAATACAGAGTTCAAAGAAGATGATAGACTTAAATATGAACACAAGTGCTGTGGTTTGGAGGTAGTTTGTCTCAAGAGTTCATGTAGTAGATGTTTCACTTCCTCATTGTGCAATATTAGAAGTTGTTTGCATCTCTAAGAGGTAACTAGACATGGTGATCTCCTCCCTTGGAGGGATTAATGTGAGTCTCACAGAGCACATTGGTTCTCTTGAGAACAAGTTGTTACAGAAGAACAAATAAAGCTGATCCCTGAAGCTCTCTGACTTCGTCTCTCACTATGGGATTATTCTCAAAATGACATTTCGTGAATGTAGTGTCTTACCTCTAAACCTTACCCACGTCAATGGATCATAAGAGAAACTAGTTCTATAATTTTTTTTCTTCAATCTTGCCTAAATCAATACTAAAGGAAACAACAGTACATAATTCTTTAAAGGTCACTGCTATATCTTCAGCAATAGGCTTAATCCTGGAATATAAGAGAT